TCTTTCCTTCCATGATTTTTCAAGGTATCAAAATCATACCGGTTTAAGTCCCCGTATTTCAGGTTGAATTTAATCCCGAAGTGAATGAAAACACGTCAAAGACCAGGTATAACACATTTTCAAGCCTTCCTACGTCATTAATATCACATCACGATACAATAAGCTGACCTATGTTCGTAAATCGCCCGACAAGGGATTAATTCCCGAGATTATTCACCGGCCACAAGATGATCCGACCGACTAGATCGTGTATCTCCCGTTTCAACGAATCGCACCGCGAAAATGGTGGAATCCCCGAGTAGCAACGTAAGTCCTTCGCTTTCCTAGGTTAATCCCCCCTGGATGTTCTGTATAATCGACCTTAAATACAGTCTCGGGGCTTCTCTATTTCGAATATATCACAGCGAACGACCGACCACGAGCGATGGATAATGGAGCCAGTGGAGGAGGGGACACAGATCGGTGTATTAATTTCCAACGTTCCCAGGCGGAATAGAATATAACGCAAGCGAATAAAATAATCCTCGATCGGTGGTGGCCTACCAGGCGGAAGCCTAGGCGATACACAAGCCTCTATCCGCCACCCCATCCCTGTCTAAATAGGGGTGGTAGGCGTGTATTCTATCGGCGCGTGCACGCACGGAACACAACCGTGGCGTGTAACGACGTCACAGAGCAGTATCTCTGTTACGCCTGGCTTGCCGTGGACTGTGGCCGCCGCTCACGCATCGCTTAACATAATCCCCCTTCCTGCCTCCCCACCTGGCCGTCGACCAGGACTACATAGATTACGGAATGATACCTCTGAAACGCTGCCGCGCAATTATATTGGCGTGAGATATTTCGCCCGCGAACGCGGTGTTTCGTGGTACGAATCCGAATGCGTACAGTCTGGACCGCCGCTGGTGCCCGGAATTTCTGGCGAGCACGGTGTTGCACGGATAAATATCGAAAACGGTCAGGGAACCCTAATTCCAGGGATACCGTCAAATGCTAATCCCTGTTCGTCGGCTGAGAAAGACCGGTCCAATATCCATGTTTCTTTCCATGATCTGTTCGGCTTGTTCATGTTGCGAACCGATTTTTTGGGAGGTTTGGGAATGTTGAACTGGTCTCTTACTTTTGAAAGAAAATTACTGAAAGAAACTGCACAGCCAGAGAGTACAAAACTGACCAAGCTACGCAATGAAACAAGGTAGAAACTGGTGGACAAGGACCAGATCCGCGCGGATGTTTTATAATAAGCATGTAAATAGGGAACAGCGTTTCTTGATTAAATTGTTGGAAGTTACGGCAATTATGCCGGGCCGTACTGTACCAGGAATTATAATGTCCCGGTTCGCTCTATTTCGTGGACCGAATCCGAATGAGCTTCAACCCGTTCGGCTGCGTGAAACCGGAAGCTCTGGGTCGGCTGGTGCCCCAACGACGGTGCCCGACGAAAGATAAATTCGGGTGAATGGCGGCGCTCTAATTCGCGATTTAATTTAAATGCTAATTCCAAAAATCGCGAATATATATAGCCCCCAATTTCTAGTTGATTGCTGTCGCGATACCCGATCGAAACACGTCGAGAAGATCCTATCCGCCTGGCAGGATTTTTCGCGCGATTTATCCGACGTTGCTCATCGAACCTCCACACGGCTCTTCTTCTTCTTCTTCTTCTTCTAGACGTTCCCCTCGCGAGTAGTTCCTTCCTCGACGGGATCGAGGATTCTGTAAAGATACAGGCCACCGAGGAGGGTCGGTCTTCTCGCCGATAAAGAGGAACTTTTCAATCTCAAGGCGAGGCAACTTCCAGGCTACGAGACTTTCCCCGACCGAGTGATACTTTATCGAAGCCCTTCTTTCGCTACGATCGAAACTTCTCCCGTACCTGGCTTCTCTGAGCCGGTCGGTCGCGTGACCACACCGTCAGTCGGACGAGTCTACACGGGGGAACAGACGAGCAAATCGGTTTTCACCGATTCGTACGGATGAATTACACACACACATGCGTCGACCACCGGTAACAATTTCTCACAGACGTCTTTTCATCGTCGATCATTGTCGCGAACACAACCGTCCAACCCCGTCCATAAACATCGACAATATATTGATAAGAATTTCACATTCGCGACGAATCTTACCGGTCTATGTGTTATTCGATTGTATTTGCGAGGATCTACCGGGAAACAGTCGATGCTTTCGTGTTCGATGCCTTTCTGTCTTCTTTCGGTAATTAATTCGGCCCGGTGTAACGTCGTTTTAATTCACCCATAGGTCTTTGTTTCTCGTCGACGGCGGCGGTCGCGTATCCCGATATCGCGGAAACGCAATTACGCAGAGCCGCGTACCGATTACACACGATCGGTAATGGAAAGTTTCGTAATTACAGGGAACAGGATGATTAATACGTTCACGCTGGGCATCATAGTAATTTCGGTCTTTGAGCGACGCGGCGCAACGCTGGCCACGTTTCATCGGGCGCCTTTATCGGCTCCTCCCCTCCACCGCCGAATTAGGCGCCGTGTCCCGTTTCAATTTCGATCGTCACCACGCGGCTTTTTCATACATTATTCGCGAAGTCTCCTGGTTTCGAGGGGTTGGAATACGCTCGAAGTTTCGAATATTTGGAAGGATTAATGTGCGATTGAAAATTAGTTCGAGGCTCGATTTTCGTTACTATTGTAGTAATAAGGCTATGTATTTTAAATTACGAAATTGAATATCATGTATTTTTTCATGTGGTTTCTTTTGGTCTAAAAAGTATTAAAATGTTTTTGTGAATCGTTTATATGTCACGTAATACGAGACAAAAAAGCGAAAGGAAATATTTTTACATTTCGTAATTGTTATACAATTTGGAAAATGAAAGGGTTAAAGCGACAAGCGAAGGCTTGGATCGTAAATGGGATCGCGATCCAGGATGATACTTTGAGAAACGAGAACGGGATATCTCGTTCTATTCTTCTTTCCACGGTTCGATAATTGGATTCCATTCGTGGGTCCTCGAGCGTGGTTTAAAAATACCACGGGGGATATCCGCGTGTCGCTACGCTCCTGGACGCCTTCGTGATTCCGCGGAGGGACACGTGGGCTGCGCTCGCACCATTTTTCACGTGCCGAAGCATTAATCAAATTCTCCCACCCGTTTGCTACCCTCCTCTGGAGGCGTTCTCCGCTTGAACGTTGCTTCCTGCGCGCCTGAAAAGTCGTCGTCGCGAGAGATCTACCATTCAGACGAGCCCTGCCACCGCGCAGTTCACGCACGCTGCGTTTCCAGACGATCCCATTTTTTCCCGTAATTTATCACTCGTACGGCGTCCACTCGACGATCACGTCGGTTAATCCTTCGATTCTCATTGGCTCGATTAAGATTGTACTCGGAGAGAGATAATTTAATCCTTTGACATTTAACATCGGGTCAAACTCGTGGTGACGATATTAAAATGGTTTTAACAGACATATTATTCGTTTTGTTTGAGTCGAAGTGAAATACTAGATTGCTGATATTAATGTTTAACTTTTAGAGTAAATGTACACTTTTCGATAAGTAGACGAATTCCTTTTGTTTCTGGGGAATTAATGATGGTAAAGTAATTCTGGAGACTGCGGACGTCAAGAATATCATAGGGCAATGGGTTAATGGAGTTCGATGGCGATTATGGTGTGCTGGCAGTGCTGGGTCGATTGGTGTAGATTTATAGACTGCGGATTTATATGCAAAATAACATTTTCTAAAGTAATTTATAAAGACAGGCGCAGGTATGGAAAATTATTTTTCCCCTTAAGTATCTTATTGGGTTCAGACTAAAATAGAAAACTCATTGGATCAGATAAAAGTTTTGTCTTTTATTTTATTTCAAAAAGTCCTATAGGCTATAAATGCATAAAATCCGTAGTCTATTCATAAAGTTGTTTAGCTTTCTAGCGGGTTTATGAACAATCGAATAATTTCGAATCGGTGTGCTTGCGTCGTCGGAGATATCACATATTTAGGGTACAACACGGATGGATCAGTTGGATATGTATTGCAATTATTAGTACTTTTCTTCGAACGGTCTTTTAAGGTCTGAAGCGCAATTTCTTGCTTAGCGCTTCTTTTTAGAGTTAAAGTTACGTTAGACGTCGCGGAATGGGATATAAAAGTATCAAAAAAGGGTTGGTTTCAGTGATCAGTGCGTGGTGATTTCTTCTCTGGATCTTTACGCATAATCTTAAACGTCCGTTGATCTTCGAAGCGTCCGTTTCTTCTATTAGAGAGATCCTTATATTTTTAAAGATATCCCTATTCTTTTTTATCTTTGTAAATTAAGAAGAATTAGAGATATCGTTAATGTTAACTTCAGATTTTATAGTATCGAGTGCCAAGATTTTATTTTCAATTCTAATTAAAGACGATCTCGAGGTTGCACGCAACAGAGAACGGATCCCGTAAATTTCCCCGTCGAAAATGAAGACTGTACCGGGGTTCGATCAACGATCACTATTAATTTCTCCGAGCCTAATCGCGGGGCCGATTAGCCGCGCGATCGCGTCAGTACGTCACGCGGGGTAATATTGCTTCTGGATGCGGGGGCACGCACCGTTCATACATCATTACTTCCCACAAATAATTCACCAAGATAATTCGCCTCACAATAAATATCTGATGCTAATTAAGCCCGTAATCCAGCGGCCGATCCGTAATTCAATTACCCTAATTAATGTTCGATTGCGATTAACAATCCAATTAAAGGTATAACACCAGGTCGACAAATAATTCCCTCTGTTTCCGTTAATGTAACCGGAAAAAGGGGGTGGTATGGGTGGGGATATTGGGGTAGCTAATCATCGGTCGAATAATTTTTCTAGGAAAACCACGCTAGTTTAATCGAATGTTTGCAAACTCGCAGCTCGAGATCTTCGAGTGGTCTAAAAAACATGATAACGCAATTCCTTTAAGAACAATTAGCTTTTCACATCAGTGAAACGTTTACCATTACGAAATGCTTGAACGTCAGCCATATTCAAAAAGGTACGTTTTATTGGGTGTTATTAACGCGTCGAGCTGGTTATTTTAATATTTTCCATTAGTCGGCTGCATCGCGCGGACGAATGCGGCTCCTTCTTCGGGGGGAACGTCCTGGAACGCGCGAGGGTACACGCAGGCCACGGAAATAGTGTCACGAACGAACACAGGAATATTTAGGGTACTCCTAATTCGCCGTCTGGGGAATGTACGGGGGCATATAGGGCCCCGTGAGGATGTACTGCATCGCGACCACCATCAGCTGCGGGGCGCTCCATCTGATGATGTACGCGCTTCCTGAAACAGAAATGCATTTTCCACGTTACTCTCGGATACCCGGTGCATCCGCAGCCCTAAGTGCTGCCACGCTACTAGGGGAGGATGAAAAGATGCGAGGCGTATCGCTGCCGTGTATGTTGCGGTTATGCGATATTCTAAACGTATGTGTGTGTGTGTGTGGAGGGTTGGATTGGTATTTGGCTGTGAAACTAGGGTGGAATTTAGATGTTCTTGGAAGATATTGAATAATACCGACGCTTTGACGGTGGATACCGTTGTAGGAATAAGAGGCAGGGTTAAAGAAACAGAAATGTAAATCACTTCGCATTTTTGTAAACAATTTGCTGAAATAAAAGTGACCGACTTTCGTGAACAAACTTATGAGTAGACTGCGGATTTTTATGCAAAATGGTATTTTCTAAAGCAATTCATACAGAGAAGAGCAAATCTGGGAATTTCTTTCTTTTCTCAAAGTATCATATTCGGTTCCGAATAAACCAAAACACTTATTGGATCTTACAAACCCCTATAGGCTATAAATGCATAAAATCTGTAGTCGACTTGTGGAGTCTATAGCCGACTGAACACGGTACTAGGATTACTCGATTGCACCGTATAAATCGTATACGAATCAAATTATGGGACTAAAACGAAAGCAGCCATCGAGTCATACTGTCGAACCATATCGTTATTGAAATATCCACGCACGATTCGTTTCGTTCAGAGTCATCGGAAACATATCGAATCGCAGGGAATTATAATTTATCCGGTTGACCGGTCGCGTTCTGTAAATTCCGACACGTCATCGGCTTACCCCGTAAATCCGTCCGTGTTAATGATTCGAGGCCATGATCACCGTGACCGGTTGATATCCCTAATTTTCAAAGCTTATTATCGCGGTAATTAGGTGTCAAAATGGTATTTCCAGGCTGGCCGTTTAAAATTTCGTCAGTTCGCGGTCGGACGCGTCGCCATTGCGTTGCGTTTCGTCCGAATTACATAATTACGCGTCGACGTAATAATTATGTATTCGTCGACGTTCAAAATCCGTACAGAAACGCGCAAAAATTCTTCTCCACGCACGAACGCACTTTGTCTATATTTTTTCGTCTTTGAAGGGTCTCGTTCGCCGTTGGAAGTTTCGCTGGGCGTTCAGAATTTAGATTAACATTTAAGAGGGCACATTTTCGAAATACTTGCCCACGCGCTCGGTCGTTCGCGCGCGCAGCATACGTGGATGGTTCCGGGGCTGGAAACTCGCCGTGGAAAACTCGTAGAAGCGAGAACAGCCGGAGTTTGCGAGCGGAACTTTTCGTCCAAAGTCCCACGGGTGTTCTCCCCTGCCGCGTGCTATCTCTGATCTAAGCTCGTTGAACCTACGCCTCTGGATCTCGTTGGTTCTCCTATAAGTACACACCGTTCGTCGATTCGTCGGCCAAATGTTTCCGACGACGTCGTATTTTTGTTTTTTTTTTTGAAGTATCTCATTGAGTTAATAATATCTAGACTGCGGATCTTTATGCAAAATAAAATTTTATACAGGTAAATTTTTTACAGAGGCAGAATTAGAATCAAAGATTTCTTTTGAAACTTTTATTCGACGCAACGAATAAAACACTTTGAATAATAAAAGTATCTTCTATTCGTCGGATAATTCTCATCGAATAAATTTATTCATTCGACGCTCGTCGAAAAATGATACCTTTTCTAGTCGAAGTTCGAATAACAAATAAGACTTTTCTATCTTTTATTCGTTATTCGAAAATTTTATTTAGATACAAATTTTGCCCGTACTTAATAACTTTACTAAAGAAAGAAACGTCGATTTGACTCAAAATTCGAGAACTCACACAGCCCTAGTAAAGAACCTTTACTAAAGAAAGAAACGTTGACGCGGGTCGGGTCGATTCGCAGTACTCGTGACGACCCTGCCCGCCTGGAAACTTTTTCCCTCTCTCGAATTCGCGGCAGTCTCGTCGAGGAGTCACGAAATCAAAGTTACCGCGGGAAGACCCTGCTTTCTGCACCGTGAATTACCTGTCAACCTGACAGTCGGCCCATACCCCCTCCCCTGCCCCTCGTGTTTCTGTTTATATGCGGCGTCAGGCGCGTTCGTGTTAGTTCCAGGCTACGCGCGGCTGAACCGACACGTCGCGACGGTAGACGGGAGGAGAAGCACGAATCCTGTGCGTCGAGACGCGGCTTTCCACCATTCCAGATTGCGTCGCGTGTCTCATTTGCGCCGATAAATCGGAAAAATTCGCCGGAGTCGTGTCACTCACGCGGAGAGAAACTTTTGCTTCCTTCCAGTCGGCTGTAAACTCAAATGTATGTATAATTGGATCTACATTCTTCTGGGAAATTCCATTCTTATTAACTGGCGAAACCTAATAATCTACGTTGTCTGGATATTTCTATAGAATTGTTTCTAAAATACATGTACTACCGCCCATAGGTTTAGTCGCGCAACGCAAAGATTTAGTTACGCATATAATATTCGGTTGTTTGACGTTGTTGTGCTATTGCTCGATTCGATATCTTTATATCGTGTAGTACACATATTTCTGTAGTTTAAAAAAATCTGATTGTTTTCAGTAGTAAAACAAATTTGTAATTGAAGAAGGGAAACACGAACAGAGTTACTCGATATCTTCCCTTAATTAGTGTTCATTACGATCATAACATTTTTTAACAGATTTAAATATCTCTATTGTTGAAGGTATTTTCGACTAATATCTGCATCAATAATTATAACGTTACCCCTCAATTTCAAGTAATACGATATAAAACACAATTCATTCTTCTCCTATAGTTACTTTCAGTTTCATTGCATCTCAACGGATGCGATTAAACTTATGAGCGGTAGTGTACATATCTCATCGAATAACAGGAAACCGGAGATGGGCCATCGTCCGTTCGACAGTTTCGTGCTCCATCTGGCTGCCAGGAGAAATGAACTGCCAGGGATCGTGAAATGTGCGCGAAGCTAATTTATTACGGCACCGATATTTATCCGATCCGTACGTTCCGAACCGCGGCCAAATAGAGTTATAAATAATCCAGAAGCTTTTCATCCCCTTCCCACTGGACTGTGATGCGTATCGAGGACGAATGCACGTCGGGGACGTATTCGTCGAGTCATTCTCCTCGTCGAAATTACAAATGGCCCCTCGTATCGGCTATCAGCCGATGAAAAATATCAAATTGAACCGAACCTACTCGAGTCTGGGCGCCATTTCCCACAAAAGAACCATACTAGTCCCAAAACTTCTTTATTTGCATCCTCTGATTTATCGTCGATCTGCGTCAGGTTCCAGCCCCAACATTCGCAGATCGTACTAGAATTTACTCGCGTCAGAACAATATATTGGTCGTCTGTATGGTGGGTCGAGGCGTATATACTTACGTTGGGTCGACTAGTACAGAGGGCGAGAGGAACAAAGACAGGGGGGTGGCTGACAAAGAGACGAAAATGAAAGCGCAATGGGATGAAAGGAGAAAAGCATCGAGTTCGAGCATCGAGCAAAACGAAATAGCAGGAAAGACAAAAAGAAGGTCGGAGCGGGGGGAGGAGGTAGAAATGGATGGAAATGGTGGTAGGGAAACGAGGATGAGAATAAAAGAGAACGAGAAAGGACACATCCGGTCGCTCTTATCGCGGATACAGAGACCGGGGCGTTGCGGATTACTCCGGGGTATCGCGGCCAATATGTCAGCCCCAGTAAGAACGACGAGGAGTCAAGCGTTTCTATCGGTTCGGAGGGGTGGGGGGATGTATAAAATGGCCGATGGTGTGTGTTCCGCGTGAAAAATCGTCCACCACCGGGGCCCGATATACAGCCATTATTGGCAGCTCGCTTCCGTAGGAATTATGTATTTTTCATACGGTGTCTCGTCCGTCGACCGGCTTCGCCGGCGAACAGCAAAAGCGACGAGCGACGTAAACTTGATGCGCGACGCTTCGAGACAGAGAGGCGACGCGTTGCTGGGAAAGCTCCCCTTCCCTCACGGTAAATCGGAAAGCGTCGTGGTGAATTTTAATGCATGGCTCGAAGGGACACGAACGGTGGAGAGACAGAAAGACGAGGACCGGGTTCGATGGTGTTTATTGCTGTGATCGGTTCGGTTCGGCTGGAAGACATTGTCGAGCTGGATTTATTAAGTTGTTGTTCTCACAACCGATGCGTTTCGTGTCGGTTGATCGGAGATTGTTCGAATCGGTTGTGAAACCTGTGAATTTATTAACTGGTTTTAAGAGTTTCAAGCTTAGTTAGTTATAAAAGTTTTATCATGCTAAGTGTTCAATAATGTAACAGGTAAATTGCGTCCTCTTTGTATAGATCAGTTCTTGCTCCATCTCTCAAGGTTCGTAACCCTTTGAGAAGAGTACTTCGATCCATAAAGTGATCCTCCTTTCGTCTGTTTTGAGTCAAGGCTGGTTAAGTTCGAAAGTGGTCCTCTATTCCCTCTATCTTTCGCCATTCAGGGAACGTCGATGCGCATTGATCTCGATGTATTCGTAAAGCACGCGTCACATAAAAATGTCACAAAGCTTCCAATATTTCCTATTTGAACGCGACACGGTCCGATAGAACGTTTCTGTATCGTCGAAAGGAGACATTTCGTTGCGATTTCAGATCGAAGATCGTAGACTCGCGGAGGAATTATTCATGGGGGGAGGTGGGTTAAGAAAATTTATAAGTCGATCGAGAGGCTTGGTTGACGTGATTTCGTTTCGAGGCCACTGGAAATTACGAAGATTCCCCGGTTAATTCGGATGCATGCCGGTGAATTTTAATGTAACGACTCGATATCGACAGGTGTCGCCACGCGTCTGGCATATGGCCGTGATTTTTCGCGCCTGTTTGCTATCATCGCCATCGATCCGCCTGTTTTCCTCCTGTGAACGGAAAAAATTTGTTGATTTTACGTAACGTTGTGTCGATCAACCGATTCAGTTGCCATATGTAGTGTACAGTGAGAACCCTAAAAAGACGTTATACAAGGGTGAGTCAATA